TGTCTGCCTGGGTTGTATTCAAATTTGCAGGTATGTATATATACAAACATTGGGTACCCTGTATAAACAAAGCGTCCATTTTAAAAAAAAAAAATAGACTTTCTACGTCGGTTCATACCATAACCGACGTAGTAAACAAGTACTCGCTTGAGCGACGATTGTACTCGCTTGAGCAACAAAAGCTTCAAACAAAGGGGCCTCTCGGGTTTCATCTCGCTTGAGCGACGAGTGTACTCGCTTAAGCGACGAAAGCTTCAAACAAAGGGGACTCTCGGGTTCCATCTCGCTTGAGCGACGAGTGTACTCGCTTAAGCGACGAAAGCTTCAAACAATGGGGACTCTCGGGTTCCATCTCGCTTGAGCGACGAGTGTACTCGCTTAAGCGACGAAAGCTTCAAACAAAGGGGACTCTCGGGTTCCATTTCGCTTGAGCGACGAGTGTACTCGCTTGAGCGATGAGTATACACTTTCAACGTCGGGTATGAATAACCGACGTTGAAAGCCTAAACTTTCAACGTCGGTTATCTATACCCGACGTTGAAAGTGTATACTTTCAACGTCGCCTGATACAACGTCGGTTGTATAACCGACGTTGAAAGCCTTATATAACCGACGTTGAAAGGCATATCTGTAGCAGTGATCCGCCTCTAATTCTGAGATACTGAGTTCGAATCTGTCAGTGAGAATTCCTTTAATCTAAATTATAATTCAAATGAGAGAGTTTCTTTAAAAAATTATAATAAAAATATTTTTAACGGATTTTGTCTGTCTGTAATTTCAATTTTTATTATAATGATTAATATATAAAACTTAAATCAAATAACATAACACAATTATAAAAACGATGATTAAAATGGGAGACAAATAAACTGAAACAATGGAACAATAAAAAAAAAACTGTACTAAGTTAAAAATACAGCAAAACATATTGAATGGATTCCTTAACACTCTAACCTATTTAATATTCTGTCAAATCATTCACGAGAACGAATGGACATTAAATCAACATTAAAAGCATGGTCCTAAGATCGGACCTCACTCTCTAGAAAACAAATCGTGTATAGATAATTCAATGGAAACTCCGGGAATAAGAATCCATGCTGCATTTTTCCTTACCTTTTTTTGGCAGACACAGTAAGGAAAGTTCTTCGTCATTGGACCATAATGGTCCACAATCATCATGGTCCATTCCACGGATCCAAACCTTGCACGGGACCATTAATCACTACCTCCAGATCCTCGTTGCACTCTTCTCTATAGTTTGTGGATCCAGACCAACCCTCCATCTCGATTAATCCACGTAGGGCTTGAAAGGAAGCCTTTCTACGATTTTCTTCGATCAATTTTCCTCTTCCGCATGGTCTCATCGACTATCTTGTCATGTCTTGTTATAAGCTTTTCTGGTGCTTCTATACATTACATTCTCTTCCTCCTCCTAAGAACTTTTCTCTAAAAATCTAGTAGAGCTCGCTCCATATTCCACATTCACCCTTTTGAACCTTTTCATTTGTTATCCCGTTTGATTTTCACAAAACATTTTCCAAGAACTAATTGTCCTCGATAATAGTTTTACTATTATAATTCTTCCAGCTATTATGATATGTCAAACGTTAAATTTCGTATGTGGTATTCACTTTCATATTGAGTGAAGAAGAAGAAATCAACTTAACACTCATGACTCCGCCAACTCTAGCAGTGTAAACGACATTAATTTACCTGTAATTGTTGTGTATAGGTGTCTCCCGATTCCATGTAAACAATACTACTACAAATAAAACTTTCAAGGTCAGTATGATTTTTTAAATTAATAATTTTTATTTATTTATAATACATTTATTTATCTAGAAGTCTCTTCTCTTTTTATATTATATTTTTATTAAGTCCTTCATCTCTTTATATTATATTTTTTAGAAGTTTATTAATTTTTTAAGAGAATTGTCATTGGCAGGATTTGAACCCAATACTTCAACCACTAAACTACTAGAATTTTTCGATAATAACTTACAAATAAATTATATTTATATACAAATAAATATATATCCGTGTAAATATATAAATACATATATATTTATATATTTTGATATATTTATATGTTGGATGTGAGGGCAGACTCGAAAATGAAAGTGTGTGTTGAGTGAGTTTTCAAATTTTGATGCTAAATTTGTTAGTAGGTATCTTTATATGAGTTTGTAATTTAATGACGTAATATAATATTTATAATTTTATTTATATAATGATATAAAATAATTTGGGAAACGCGTCATTCGTTCTCAAGCGAAAAATATCAATTTTCGCTCAAGCGAGACTTGAGTGAGTGAATTTCCGTGAGCTTTAACATATTTTCACTCAAGCAAGAGTTAATCTCACTTTCACCCTCGATCGAAAAATACCAATATAATTTATTTATAAGTTATTATCAAAATATTGTAGTAGTTTAGTGGTTGAGATATTAACTTTCAACTCTAAAATACTGAGTTCAAATGTTGTCAGTGACAATTCATTAACTTAAGTGAATTTTTGGCTGAAAAAAATAAAAATACTTTCCAGAACATATATACAAATAAATATATATTTACATATATATATATATATATATATATATTTATTTATTTATTTATTTATTTGTATATAAATATAATTTATTTGAAAGTTATTATTAGAAAATTATAATAGTTTAGTGGTTAGTGTAATAGTTTTCAATTTTAAAATTCGAGTTCGAATCCTGTAATGATAATTTTCAAATTTAAGTGAATTTTTGAGTGAAAAAAAAAAAAGACTTTCCACGTTGGTTGGAAAGTACTTTCTACGTTGGTTGGAAAGTACTTTCTACGTCGGTTGACTAAAAACCGACGTAGAATGTGTTTAATATTCAATTTTCAATGTCGGTTCATCTGGGAACCGACGTGGAAAGTACTTTTTACGTCGTCTCAGTTATAACCGACGTTAAATGATGACGTAGAAAATATATTGTGTAGGAGTGCAAAATTTGTGATGTAGACTATACATTGAATTCAGGAAACACCCTGTCTACTTATATGTATACAACATCATGGGTGTTTAGGAACTATTAGAAAAGCACGGCAATGTTAGGTAAACCTATTTCTTAAATCTTACAAAAAGAGTGAAGCGGGGTCCAATATCTGACCCGCTATGCTTTTAACCATGAGTCATGTACAGGACAATGATAAATTTCTATCATAAAGTGTATGCATAGCGACATACAAAAAAAAAGTAGAAATAAACATTTAATAAATATTTATTGATAAAATTTTTTACTAATTACAATTAGAAAAGACACTTATATGATATTTAGGACATATTTGGAGGAATATCTAAGTTTTATGAATAAAAAAGGAAATGAATTTTTTTCATAAACTAAAATTATGTTAAAAGATTAAAAAAATAAGATCATTTATATGAAACAAAAAAAACTATACTATGACTTATATACATAAGCTAATTTTAATTTATAAAAAAATCATTTCATTTATTTTATATCTCTGTTCTAGAAATGTTCATGAAAAAAGTTGTTAAACATATCGTATGGATGATGTCATACAATTATATATATATATATATATATATATATATATATATATATATATATATATTTGATGAAATATTTTATTATAAGAATTATTAATATGAAACTCTAATTTTAATTGAAAAATAATTTTATTATTATATTTAAGTTTTTGTTTCATAAGTAATATGGTTAGAAAGGATAAGAGAAATAAAAAACACTGAAAAGGAAGTTAAATGTATAACTGTATGTTTTTCTTCGTTAAGCAAAATCTTAAAAAGAAGTCTCGTCAGCACACCAAGGAAACATTGCATTTGGATCGAAACATAGCTACGTTGATAAATTTTGACTGAAGTTACTATCATTTCCAACTTTTGGCTACATAAACATATAGAGAAGTTTTATAGACATACGGAGTTGATGCAATGATTAAGGCTTGTGCATGATCTCTTTTGGACCCCTTAGTTGCTTTTTCGTTTCTTTGCAACAACAAAAAAAAAAAAAAAAAAAAAAAAAGTAGTGACCAAAATTTTTGTTCATATTATTTTTCAAATAACTTACAATAATGCGAATACGACTGCTTATAGGCATTGCATAAAAGGACAGAGAAGATGGGTGTATTTCTTTTTATCTGTCAAGAAACGGATTCAAATAAGACAATATAATGGGATTCCCTCAAGAAATTTTGAAATAATAATAAAAAAAAAGTTTTAACCAACAAGTATAATTTCAAAATTTGTTGTAGCAATTGAGACATGGAGATGTTGACAAAGGTCTTCAATGAATTGGTTTTCTATGGACATCATTGAAATTAAAAAGAAGTTTAAAAAGAAATTAAATATACTGAATATCAAAATTATATATATATATATATATATATATATATATATATATATATATATATATATAATCTCTTTATATATGGAATAAAATGTTTTATTTATCGGTCAAATACGATAACTTATCTTTTTAACTACTTGGGAAGTCTTTTTAATTTATAGACCTCAACAAGAACAGAGGTGGAGACGAAGAAAGGCACATAATTAATTTAAAAGTAAGCATCATTATTTGAACTTCAGAGGCAAATCAATGAATAATAGTCCCTATTTTATAGGCTTCTTGTATGAAGTTAAGGGTACGTGTCTTTGTTATTGTATTTCAATTAAAAGTACTTTATTTAAAGGCAAACCAACACTGGAAGTTTACACAAATTTGAGTAAATATAACGGAATATAACAACTCACAGATCAGGAGAAGAAAGACTTTGCTAGTCATAAAAAAAATTGATTTCTTCTGGATTGAATCGACAAATACAAAAGCCTGTAATGCTAGCTGGTTCAGGCTTATCATTTATGGCAAGCACGTTTACTCTCATCAGTATATACAACACTAGGCAAAACCTATCACCCCTCAACATCAAACGAAATCCCTCCTAGAAATGAAAGACAAACAATTAAGGATTGTGTTTATAGCTAGCCTAGTCAGAGTTCCTCATCATCCTGAGTGCCAATTCTTGCAGCTCACCCAAGTCATTGTTATATGATCTTTTCATAGAACAAGCTTGGAACGAGAAATCTCCGCTTTGTACATCTTGCATGCACATTCCATCATTGATATTGCTGCTATAATCAATTGAATCAAGTGAGCTCTGAGGAGATATAGGGTTATTCATGGAAGTGGGACAAAATGGATTGAATGGATGTCCAACATTCTCTGACCAATGATTCTCCAAGTTTGTGGGTACCATCTGGTTCTGATCCAGCTGTGCCTTCATTTGCACTAGCTGTGCCTGCAAGCTTGCTACCTACACATTAACCAAGACAAAAACTAATTGTGTAAGAGAAGAAAATTGAACCAAATATAACCAATTAGTAATATAACTTGGAAATTTGTTTGTATATTGATAATTAGAAATTGACAAAAACGCCTACACATATTTTAGCCAATAAATAATCATATTTTTGGGCTGTCAAATATTTCTAGAGGACAAACCTGATTACAGATCAAGTGTATTTATGTTATCAATTATGAAAAAAAAAATCACCAAAATATACCCGTATATAGAAATTAAAAGAAAATATAATGATGATAATTCAATACTTTCGTTTTTTCGCCATTTTAGATGCTTTAATACAAAACATGTTTTTAGTTCCTTAAAATATATATATATATTATTCAAAAGTTCCTTGTGAACCTTATTTCAATTTTTCTAAAAAAACTACCTCACATTTTTAACGATATTACTGAAACATAAATCATTCTAATAATATTTGCAAATTATGAAAATGTATAGCATTATAATTTGAAGAATTTAAAGCATTTTAGATATTTTACATGAATCTTGAATCTGCGCTGAGCTTAATCTATAAGTGTACCTGTTGTTGCAAGGCGAAAATATGGGCGACACAACCGTAAACAGGGTCTGAGATTCGAGCTTGGGCTTCATAAGCAATTGTGACCATTGCCTCAAAACGATCGCTATCTGGTATACGCAAGAGCAACTTGGAAACGTTGCTAGCCCCGAAAACCTTATGAATGGCGGCGAATCTAGCAGCTCCTTGTTCGGAGCAGAAGTACGGTGCAAAGATGCAGTCTGCAGCACATTTTCTTCGCAGGAACTTGCATGCACCGCAGGGGGATCCAAAGGAAGAACCAGACGCAGCGTCATTTGCAGTTGTTGCAGAAGCCATAGTACGTTCGTGTACTTGCTTCAGAATAATGGAAGTGTAATAATAATAAATTTAATAATATGGTTATGGTTATTATTGTTTGTTGTGTGCGTGGGAAGGTGAAAGAAGTAAATGAAATTTTTTTGGAGCACACGGGTAGACTAGGAAATGGTGCAGAAGTGGGGGGATTTATTTACGGTGAAGGGAGGAGGAGATGGAAAGGAAATGGTTGTGGTGGTGGGGCATGAGTGGGAATAAGAGACAGAAAGGGTGAGAAGTGTCTTGTAACAAACGTGAATGGGCGACATGGGAGGCACATGTGTAGGGTTCCAAGGGGACATTTATCAATCATACACCCAACACGGGACTGGTTTTTCAAATGGCGTTTGGGATTTGAGTGTTCCAACATTTCCTTTAGCTGAGTTATTTTGACTCTTAATTACCCAAATGCTTCTTAGTATATAATATAAGGTCAAGATTATTTGTTTACTTAGGATAAAAGCTTGGTGAATATCTTACATGTTCAAATTAATTTTTGGTGGCTTGGGATGATAGTACAGAGTATAAATTTTATCTTTTAAGTTTGATTTTTTTTAATTTATATAAAATATCAATTTTAGTTTAACTAATCATTTAGTTCACACCTTTATTACGTTTTGTGTTTTTTGTTTTTTTTTAATTACGTTTAATCTCTACATTAGTACAATTTTTATATTTTACTCGTTCTGTTTTTATTTATAAAAATTAAATTTCAAGTGTGTTTGGTATAGTTAGGGTCAGTCAATAATATCACATAATATATAGTATTTACTATTTTTAAATTAAAATATTTTAAATCAAATAAATAATTAACGATATTTAGAAGAAAAAGACATTACAAGAAAAAATCATTTTAGTGAGGGTTAAGGTTCCAACATAAAACCAATTGACAATATGTGGAGTAGCCTAACATGTATTTAAACCTTACCAAATGACATGAGGTAGGCGATGTGGGCCTTTCAACACACCCCCTCCAACGAAGCCTGCCGGACTAGGCAAATGGTACTTTTGACCCAATTAAAGGGCAACTTTTGGTCCATAACAATAACCGGAAAGATGTTAGGCTTTGGCTCTGATACCATGTTAAGGTTCCAACATAAAACCAATTGGCAATATGTGGAGTAACCTAACATGTATTTAAACCTTACCAAATGACATGAGGTAGGCGATGTGGGCCTTTCAACTAGCGACCGATTTTCATTTCGGTCGTAAAATAGCGACCGAAGTTAATATATCAAATTGGTCGCTAAATCGGTGACAAAGTTAAAAACATAGCAACCGATTTATATCGGTCACTAAATCAATAACAAAGTTAATTATTTTTATTTATTTACTATATTCTATTTTTTAAAAGTTTAACTTATTACTAGATTTATTGTTATTGTCGGGATTGGAACTCGGTACCTTAGAATTGGAGGCTAAAACTCCAACTACTAAGCTACTAGGATTTTTTAATAATAATTTACAAATAAATTATATTTATATACAAATAAATGTATATCCGTATAAATATATAAATATAAAATCTATAAATTAAAATATATTTATATATTTTAATATATATTTAAATATTGATATATTTATATCTTTATATCTTTATATTTTTACATATATTTATATCTTTATATTTTTACATTTATTTATATCTTTCCATATTTATATATAAAGATATAAATATATAAAAATATTAGTTTTGTATACAAATAATATTATAATATAGTATATTATACTATTAGTATAGTATACAAATTATATATTAGTATAGTATAGTATACAAATTATTAATTTTGTAATTTATATACAATGAAAATAATATAATGGTATATTAGTATAGTATAGTATATTTGTATTCTACTTTTTAATTAAATTAAAATTATGCTAATAATGTATAATAATATATGAGGGAATAATAAATTTAATCCAATTACTTTTATAAATATATAAATATAAAATCTATAAAATATTAAAAATGATATTATATTTTTAAAAACAAATATTAGAAAAAGGTTTAAAAACATATATAAATTATATTTATATGTCCAAAATATTAAACATATCCACATTTAAAAAATACTAAAAAAATATTAAAAATTATACTTTAAATTGATGAAAATATTTTTAAAAAGTTATATTTATTAAAGTATTAAAAAATATTTTGTAATATATAAGTTAAAAAAATTATCATTAAACTTTTTAAAAATTATTAGTTTTGTAATTTATACACAATAAAAAAATTACAAATATTATAACATAATGGTATATTAATATAATTTAATATATTTGTATTCTAATTTTTAATTAAACTAAAATTACGTTAATAATGTATAATAATATATGAGAGGATAATATTGATATATTTATATTTATATATATATTTATATATTTATATATTGATATATTTATATATTAATATATTTATATTTTGATATATTTATATATTGATATATTTATATATTTATATATTTATTTATATTTTTATATATTTATATCTTTATATATTTATATATTTGAAAATAATAAAAAATTTAAATATTAAATTTTAAAAATAATATTATATTTTTAAAAATAAATATTAGAAAAAAATTTAAAAATATATATAAATTATATTTACATGTACAAAATATTAAAGATATATATTTATATCTTTACATATTTATATATTTATATCTTTATATTTTATATCTTTATATTTTCTAAATATATTTATATCTTTGTATCTTTACATATATTTATATCTTTATATATATATATATATATATATATATATATATATATATATATATATATCTTTATATATTCATAAAATCTATAAATACAAATATATTTATATATTTATATATTTATATATTTACATATTTATATATTTACATATTTATATATTTACATATTTATATATTTACATATTTATATATTTACATATGTATATATTTATATATTTATTTATATTTATATCTTTATATCTTTATATATTTAAGAAAAAATTAAAAATTTAAATATTAAATTTTTATGATTTTTACTATAATAAATCAAATTAAATGATTCGATAATATCAATTAATTAAAATCATCACATAAAAAATTTAGATAACTACATTAAAATTATTAATTTTAAAAATACAAAATATATTTAAAAAAACTCAAATTATAGATTGGAAATAAAATAGAATAAACAAATACTCTTTACTTTATATTATATTTAAGTGTGTGCACAAATGTTGACCTTCTTAACTATAAAGAAACAGTAGAAAAATATAAAGATAGTATTTGAAGAAGTGAATTTTGAAGATAAAGACTATTTTTATATAAATTTATTCTAGTATATCAATTAACAATAATAATAAATAAAATTTAAAAACTAAACTAAAGAATGTAAGTTTAAATTTTTAAAAAATACATTACTAAAAGTATCATATTATATTAAGATTTTCATTATTTTCGTTAATTATAAATTTAAATGTGTTTCATAAATAAAATTATAAATTTAAATGTATTTCCACTTTTGATCCATCATAAATAAAAATAAATAGTCTCTTATCATTAAATTTGTTTTATATACAAATTTGATGACTTATCATATTATTAAAAATTTGGATGAAATAATTATGTATAATATTTTTTTTAGTATATTATTTTTTAAAATTTGTTAATAGAGAAAAAGTTTCAGAATTAAAAATGTTAAATACTTTTAAATATTAAAATTGACTTTATAAAAAATTAGGAAAAAAATAATTAATCCAAAAATATAATAATGATAAAAATATTATAAAAAAGAGTTCAAAAATGTATTATAATATTTTCAGTTTTAGTTTAATTATATTTTTAATTCTCAAAGTAGAAAAATATATTGTAATTATTTTAATTTAATAAAATATAATTTAGATTTTTAATACTAAAATTAAAATATTAAATAATAATAAATTTAATTCTTTAAATTTAGTATTTAGAAACTAAAATTATAGTTTCTCTCTTTTAAAAAATTAAAATAAATATTTAAAAATAAAAATAAAAACTAGTATTATCTTAAATTTATTAAAAGTATAATTAAATCTCTATTTTCTTATGCAATTTTAGAAATTTTTTAATGAAAATCCAATATATAAAAAAGTTAAAATTTTAAAAAGGTACAACCTTAATTTATATTAACTATTTTTAATATAAATTTAAATATATGTTGAATATAACTTTTAAAAAGGCACAACCTTAACTATGTTGAATATAAATTTAAATATATTTTTCATTTATTTAAATATGGTTAATTTTTAGTATTTATAAAATAGATTAATTTTAAATTTTTAATCTTTTTTATTAATTATGTTAAAAATGAAAAATATTAATTAGTATACTTAAACTAAAAAATATTTTAACTAAAATATATTTTTATAAATAGTTTAATTAAATAATATATTTATTATCTAATGTATATTGATATAATTTTTTTTGGTATATCAATTATATGACAACAACCATGATTAAGTAATTAATAATAATAAAACAATAAATTTAAAAATTAGATTAAAAATAAAGTATTATAAAATAAAATTGTAATAATTTGATTAAAATTGTAATTTTTTAATTAATTAAGTTAATGAGGAATTAAAATGTGATAATTTGATGTGTTTAATTTTTTTAATATAAATTTTTAAAATATAATTTAATTTCAATTGAAATTTTCAATTGAAAAATAAATTAAAGAATATTTGTTATTAATTTTTTCTTAAACAATGTATTGAATAGTTAATATCACTCTAGTATTAATTTATTACAATTTAAATTTTTAATAAATTTGATTTATTTTTAATAATATTTTTATTTTAGTAATTTAAAATTAAATTTAATCTTCATTTTGTTAATATTGAGACCAAAGTTTATTTTTAAAGTATATTTTAAAAATTAAATTATTTTTAAAAAATAAATTACTTTTAAAAAATAAATTGTAAAAAATATACTAAATCAATTAAAGTATATTTATAAAAAAATAAATTT